GCATGCTTCTTGCTGCAAACGCATGCCTACGCAGGTTCCAACACAGAACAACGTGCTCTCCCGCTGGTCCCGCAAGGTTTAGCCTTCGGGAACGGCAGTCTGGGAGCGTTGTCGCCTGTCGTGTCGAGTTGTTCGGATGGCGCCTCGAGCGTTGGCGTGTCGGACGGTGCTTTCCAGGTGGCTGGTGCCATGTTTGGGTTGCCACCCCCTGATCCATCGCAAGAGCAAGCTTACCAAGCTCAGTTCTCAACCGTGTTGGCTCAACCAGGTAGCGCACCGTGGACCTAACGGTCTCTATGCTTCCGACTGTGGCGTACCTATCCCACCATGTGCGGACCTCACGCATGCTTCTTGCTGCAAACTCATGCCTACGCAGGTTCCAACACAGAACAACGTGCTCTCCCGCTGGTCCCGCAAGGTTTAGCCTTCGGGAACGGCAGTCTGGGAGCGTTGTCGCCTGTCGTGTCGAGTTGTTCGGATGGCGCCTCGAGCGTTGGCGTGTCGGACGGTGCTTTCCAGGTGGCTGGTGCCATGTTTGGGTTGCCACCCCCTGATCCATCGCAAGAGCAAGCTTACCAAGCTCAGTTCTCAACCGTGTTGGCTCAACCAGGTAGCGCACCGTGGACCTAACGGTCTCTATGCTTCCGACTGTGGCGTACCTATCCCACCATGTGCGGACCTCACGCATGCTTCTTGCTGCAAACTCATGCCTACGCAGGTTCCAACACAGAACAACGTGCTCTCCCGCTGGTCCCGCAAGGTTTAGCCTTCGGGAACGGCAGTCTGGGAGCGTTGTCGCCTGTCGTGTCGAGTTGTTCGGATGGCGCCTCGAGCGTTGGCGTGTCGGACGGTGCTTTCCAGGTGGCTGGTGCCATGTTTGGGTTGCCACCCCCTGATCCATCGCAAGAGCAAGCTTACCAAGCTCAGTTCTCAACCGTGTTGGCTCAACCAGGTAGCGCACCGTGGTCTCTATGCTTCCGACTGTGGCGCCCATGTGCGTACCTATCCCACCATGTGCGGACCTCACGCATGCTTCTTGCTGCAAACGCATGCCTACGCAGGTTCCAACACAGAACAACGTGCTCTCCCGCTGGTCCCGCAAGGTTTAGCCTTCGGGAACGGCAGTCTGGGAGCGTTGTCGCCTGTCGTGTCGAGTTGTTCGGATGGCGCCTCGAGCGTTGGCGTGTCGGACGGTGCTTTCCAGGTGGCTGGTGCCATGTTTGGGTTGCCACCCCCTGATCCATCGCAAGAGCAAGCTTACCAAGCTCAGTTCTCAACCGTGTTGGCTCAACCAGGTAGCGCACCGTGGACCTGGTCTCTATGCTTCCGACTGTGGCGTACCTATCCCACCATGTGCGGACCTCACGCATGCTTCTTGCTGCAAACTCATGCCTACGCAGGTTCCAACACAGAACAACGTGCTCTCCCGCTGGTCCCGCAAGGTTTAGCCTTCGGGAACGGCAGTCTGGGAGCGTTGTCGCCTGTCGTGTCGAGTTGTTCGGATGGCGCCTCGAGCGTTGGCGTGTCGGACGGTGCTTTCCAGGTGGCTGGTGCCATGTTTGGGTTGCCACCCCCTGTTTCTCCATCGCAAGAGCAAGCTTACCAAGCTCAGTTCTCAACCGTGTTGGCTCAACCAGGTAGCGCACCGTGGACCTAACGGTCTCTATGCTTCCGACTGTGGCGTACCTATCCCACCATGTGCGGACCTCACGCATGCTTCTTGCTGCAAACTCATGCCTACGCAGGTTCCAACACAGAACAACGTGCTCTCCCGCTGGTCCCGCAAGGTTTAGCCTTCGGGAACGGCAGTCTGGGAGCGTTGTCGCCTGTCGTGTCGAGTTGTTCGGATGGCGCCTCGAGCGTTGGCGTGTCGGACGGTGCTTTCCAGGTGGCTGGTGCCATGTTTGGGTTGCCACCCCCTGATCCATCGCAAGAGCAAGCTTACCAAGCTCAGTTCTCAACCGTGTTGGCTCAACCAGGTAGCGCACCGTGGACCTAACGGTCTATGCTTCCGACTGTGGCGTACCTATCCCACCATGTGCGTACCTATCCCACCATGTGCGGACCTCACGCATGCTTCTTGCTGCAAACGCATGCCTACGCAGGTTCCAACACAGAACAACGTGCTCTCCCGCTGGTCCCGCAAGGTTTAGCCTTCGGGAACGGCAGTCTGGGAGCGTTGTCGCCTGTCGTGTCGAGTTGTTCGGATGGCGCCTCGAGCGTTGGCGTGTCGGACGGTGCTTTCCAGGTGGCTGGTGCCATGTTTGGGTTGCCACCCCCTGATCCATCGCAAGAGCAAGCTTACCAAGCTCAGTTCTCAACCGTGTTGGCTCAACCAGGTAGCGCACCGTGGACCTAACGGTCTCTATGCTTCCGACTGTGGCGTACCTATCCCACCATGTGCGGACCTCACGCATGCTTCTTGCTGCAAACTCATGCCTACGCAGGTTCCAACACAGAACAACGTGCTCTCCCGCTGGTCCCGCAAGGTTTAGCCTTCGGGAACGGCAGTCTGGGAGCGTTGTCGCCTGTCGTGTCGAGTTGTTCGGATGGCGCCTCGAGCGTTGGCGTGTCGGACGGTGCTTTCCAGGTGGCTGGTGCCATGTTTGGGTTGCCACCCCCTGATCCATCGCAAGAGCAAGCTTACCAAGCTCAGTTCTCAACCGTGTTGGCTCAACCAGGTAGCGCACCGTGGACCTAACGGTCTCTATGCTTCCGACTGTGGCGTACCTATCCCACCATGTGCGGACCTCACGCATGCTTCTTGCTGCAAACGCATGCCTACGCAGGTTCCAACACAGAACAACGTGCTCTCCCGCTGGTCCCGCAAGGTTTAGCCTTCGGGAACGGCAGTCTGGGAGCGTTGTCGCCTGTCGTGTCGAGTTGTTCGGATGGCGCCTCGAGCGTTGGCGTGTCGGACGGTGCTTTCCAGGTGGCTGGTGCCATGTCTGGGCCGCCACCCCGTGTTTCATCGCATCAGCAAGCCTACCAGCTCAGTTCTCAACCGATGTCGGCTCAACCAGAGAAGCACAGCCTCGTCTTTTCCCGACATTGGCGCCGATGGTGTTGTGGCTTTTTTTGCTGACCGCAAGCGTAGCCTAGCCAACCCACCTGCTTCAAGAGCCGCCCCCGAGGCAGAGCAGGTCATCCTCTCTCACGAGACCAAGGCATGCATGAGCCTTTTTCTGCTCTTGATCGCCGTGACGGGCACCAACCCCAGTCAGTCCTCGTTCGGCATGCCTTACCGCTTCATAAACAAGCAAGAACAAACCTCATGCGCATGCTCGCAACTGATTTGTCTTTAGATCAAGGCGGTTTACGCCTTGACTTGGAAGAGCTGGTCAAACCCTCTTCAGCAGCGCTTGCCGCTTTGGCCGCACGTTACAATTTTCGAGTTGAAACGCTCGTCAAGGTTCTTGATGTCCTGTACAAGGATCAAAAGCGCCACCACCTCAAAGACGTCATGCCGCTCAAGGATTGGTTCACCTCGGTGGTCTTTGAGCAACTGGGACATGCCACCACCGGCGCGGGTGCCGACGACACCGCAGCCCCCTCTGCGAAACGACCTAAAGCGAGCAACAACTGTCAAGCTTCAACAAGCCCCTCATCTCCGATCTTGGAACAGCTCGTGCAGGTTTGGCGTGCGCTGCGCGGGTACTTCCCAGCCTTATCCGACCCTCTGAAGGAGCGTCGGGACAAACTGGGCAAGGGAGATCAAAACCCGGAGGGCTTCATGGGCATCTTGAAGCACTCAACTTCGTTTCATCATGTTGTGCCGCGCCTCATGGGCGGCCGGCGGGCCAACAAGCTTCGTCAACTCCTGGCCCAGCAGGCAAGCCCCTTTTGGACACGACCTATCCCATCCCCCAAACCTCTACAAACTTCTTCGCCACCTGCCCGACCCCTCGACCTTTTGATGGCTGCCTTGAATGCGTGCACGCCACACGACCTTTCAGCGAACGAACGTTGATGCGATTGAAATGCCTTTCTCGAAACAGCAGTTTGACCGTGTTTTCTTCGCCGCTGAGCCTTTTCATTCCGCCTTTATTCAGTTCTTTACTTTTTTTGGTTTTTTTTTTTATCTGTTTTTTTTTTATTGTCTTATTTGTGACCGGTGCCCTGTGCTGCAACCCTGCAAGCGCAACCTCAGGTGCAAAGCCTTGATTCCATTCGTGTGTCAGTTCTTTTTGTGAAACACCTGACGTTGTTACCCACCCGTATCGCCGTGCATTCTACCACATGTCCTCGTTCCTCTGGATATGTGTGTGTGTGCGTGTGGTGCGTGTGTGCGCGCAACCTCTGATGCAAAACATTTATTCGACCTACTACGTTTGGAACAAATGTTTTGCAACCGAGTTTGCGATTGCGGTGCTGCAGCACTTCACTCGGTATTGTCTGTGTTGTCTGTCTGCCGGTGTCGTCCTCCCTCATGCCCAACGCTTCTGCGATCGGCCCCTCTTGGTGGCCGATACGGAGTATGAGTCGACATCCGCACCCTCTTTTTCTTTCGTGCTTATGCTTGCCCATATGTGTTGTCATGTGGCCTTGCTGCCCAATCGATTGATCAACCCATTCCTTGTTCTTCGTGCGACGCGCTCTCACTTTTTTTTTTTCAACACACAGACATTTGCACATGCCTCACAAACACTTGCGGATCGTTAGTTTGCCGAGGAGGCCATGGCTAAACAGACAAGGCGTGCGCTTTGGGTACATGCTCAAAGTCAGAGCGCATCAGGGCACGTCAATTTGGGTTAGGGAGAGAGAGAGAGAGAGAGAGAGAGAGAGAGAGAGAGAGAGAGAGAGAGAGAGAGAGAGAGAGAGAGAGAGAGAGAGAGAGAG